AAGTGGCCCCACCAATCCAACACAAATCTTGGGTAAAAGAGAAATGCAGGCCAGGCACCGTGGCACATGCCTATAATCCCAGTGATTCAGGAGGCTGAGGCAGGAGGACAGAAAGCTTGAGGTCAGCTTCAGCAACTTAGCGAGGCCTAAGTAACTTAGAGAGATCCTGTCTCAAAATCAAAAGAGTTGGGATGTAGATTTGGGTTCAACAGGAAAGGAAAGGAAAGGAAAGGAAAGGAAAGAAAGAAAGAAAGAAAGAAAGAAAGAAAGAAAGAAAGAAAGAAAGAAAGAAAGAAAGAAAGAAAGAAAGAAAGAGAAAGAAAAACAAGAGAGAGAGAAAAAATACACTTTGTAATTTAAACCACCATATTGTTGCTTAAACAATGATATTACAGCAGCTTAATCTTTTATCCTAACTAATAAAAAAACTATACTACCAGGCAGATGAACCAATGGCTGTGGGATTCCGCTGAGGAAGAAGGAGTGAGTTTTACCAAAGAAATCCTGAAAGGTTGCTTGGCGGAGGCACGTGGCCTTAAGCACTGAAGGTTACAAATATTGAGGACACTCAATTGGAAACAGCGTGCAGGGTGTGGACAGAGTGGCCAGAAACCGAGTGACAAGAAGCAAAAAAGAAATGCATCTGATTAAAGACTTGCAAAGCAAAGAACAGCAGGTCTGGGACGGTCAAGAGGTGGCATCGGGGAGGTTCTGTGAGAACCCATAAGGCTGGACTAAGTGGGGCATCAGGAGGAGACTGGGAGGTGGAAAGTGATATCCAGATGGGTCTGCCCGTGGGTGGAGCTCCAAACAACCCCAGAAATGGCTGTCAATCAGTTGACACCTCAGAGGGATGAGTCTTCCCTCTGTCTCCCCTGGACTAGGAGATGCCCCCCAACTTCAGGAACAAAGCAGAGACGAACGACCTTCTCATGATGGCACGCATCCCCAGAATGTCACTAGGTTCAGTTTCTTATCATTCAATCAACATTTGCAGCGCTGGGTGCAGTGTGGCCATAAAGGAGGATGAGCTATGACTCCTGTCGTTCAGGAGCTTGCCAACTCGGGGATGATATAAGAGATGCAGGTGGGAAACCAGGGTAAGGAGCAGAAATTGATGCCTGCCGCCACTAAGTGCAGAGAAAGTGTTCCAAGAACTCCCAGGAGGAAGATTACTTCCTCCTTGGGCTGGTGGGTGGGGCCGGGAGGCAGGTGGAAGGTATCCAGGCGACACAGGGGGCGTAGCCTTGGAGCCACCCTTGGAAGCCTGAGCCCAGAGAGCAAGCTGGGAGCCAGAGAGCAGGTGGGCCGGCGGGGTTAGGCTGGGGGTGCCAGGGCGGGCTGGGGAGCTGGGAGGTGCCACAGGTCACACCGACATGGCCATCCCCTCTTCCCTGGCTCCACGCTGAGGGGCAAGAGGTGGAAGCTTTGGTGAGGAGCTTCCAGGGGTGGGGCCCCCGAAGCCTCTCCCTAGTTCCACTCTTGGAGAAGCTCACTTTTCAGCTCCCACCTGATCCCTGCTCCTGCGGCTGAGGCTTCATGCCCTTCAGGGGCTGGAGGGACCCAGCCATGCCCAGCCCAGCCTGCCTGCAGGATGACTTCCTGTGGGACATCAGGTTTGCAGGAACACGCTGGGGACAAACTGGAGGGAGGGGGAAGATATCAGATGAGCCTTCACAATTGCTGGGAGGGGTGTTCTCCTGGTCCCCCTTGCCGGGGCATGCTATGGGTACATGGAATAGTCACTTTCCTGTAAGACCCTTCTCCCCTGCCCTCTGAGCAGGAAGAGAGGGGGGCAGAAGGCTGGAAAAAGACCCCAAGTCTTGCACCACCAAAGTAACAGAGAGCAGGGATCCTAATAGAAGGGCCGGAGCCTCTCACATTTGGGGACTGGTGGGGGCACTGGACAGGGGCAGGGGTGAGACCCTGCTCTCTCCTTGTCAACAGGAAGAATAGACAGCCAGGAGGAGCGGCCAGAGCCAGACCCTGCACCAAGCGGACCCCAGTGCTCACAGTTCTCTCCAGTCTCCTGTCAAGACGAGACAGGCTGTTCTTTCCGAAATCCAACCAGGGAGATGTGAATAGTGACTCCTGCTAAAAAGTGGGGGTGGGGGCCAGAACACGGAATAATTGGAATTCTTGAGAGCCTGCATGGAGAGACACAATGTTCTTTGCTGTGTGCAGGAAAGGTTAATAAACACGGGTGACATTGGGCAGCTGCTGAGGACGCACAGCGAGCAGGGACACTTCCCAGAAGGACCGCTGTGCTCCGTCTGTGCCCAAGGCCAGTGCACCTTGCCGGTTCCTCCTGTGCCCGTCCTTGGTCTGCCAGCCCCCGAGACGCCCCAGAGGCACCCAGGGACACAGTGGGACATCCAGGACCTTCTATAGCACAAGGCTAGGAGATATCCCACCCCACCCCACAGGGACCACAGTGGAATGGATCCAGTAAAGCCAGAAGGCAGGAGGACGAGGGGCCTCTGTCCTAAGTCCCTGGACCCACTTCCTGGTGTCTGCTCCCCACGATGGGACCATTTTAGATGGAGCCCCCTCTGGCTGTCTGGCCGGCCCTCTGTGGTCTATCCCTCCTCACAGTGAGGGACACAGAGTGGTGACAGCCACAGGCAGCCACCAGGGTCAGGACTGTGTGGCGAGGTCCCATGTGCTTGGGCGTGCACAGGTAGGCACCCGGCTGGGAGAGCAGCCTTACAGGTGAAGGGGCCGCGACGGGAGGGAAGAATCCCCAGGTGCTCTGTCTGCCTGTGGTCCGCCTCCAGCAGAAGCAGTCCCTGTGCCAGCCCTGTCCTGCCGGTGGCCCAGAGCTGCCAGCTCTTGGCAGCCAGACCCCAGGGCGTCTCTGGATGCTGCCGGATGCTTTGATCTCCCCAGCAAGAGTCTGGCGGCAGCGGTTCACTATCTAAATGCCACATCCGGAATCTGACAGAGAAACAAGCGCTTGGGTGACACCCAAATGCAGCATCAACACAGACATGCTGACATTTCCATCTGCCCCTCCGTCCCCAGAGTCCCCACGTGCAAGAGAAGCCACAGGCAGAGAAAGTAGGTCGCCCCGTTCTCAGCAGAAGAGACCAGGTGTCCGCAGAACTTCAGCTACGTGCGTTGGGGGGGGGTATAGCAGGGGGTACAGAGAATAAGGGAGGGGACATCCTTTGCCCAACTCCCCAGCAAGCCGCAGCTGACAGTAGATTTGGGTCTAGGCCAGTGGTTCTCAACCGTGGCTCTGGAGGAGTTTTATTGAAAAACAAAAGCAAAAATTGGTCCTAGGCTTCACCTAAGACCAATTAAGTCGGCATCTGGAGGAACAGGCAGAAGTACCCTGAGCATTTAAAACCTCCCCGGGTACTGTGAGGATGGGCAAAGAGGGTGAGCAGCTCCCTGTCCAGGCAGAAGTGGACGGCCCTCCCCTTCCCCTGTGGTCCTCCCCAGGAGAGAAGGGGTTGGGAGGGAGAAGGTGTTTTGAGCTAAAGATTTTTGCATGGAAAGAGCCCCCCACTCACCCACCCAGTGTTCTCACGTCCCAGGGACATTAAAGCTCCATTCACAGTCCACAGGGAAGGCCACGTGGTGACCCGCTCTTGCTCCTGATTCCCGCCTCTTTTCCTTGTCCAACCCTAAGCACCTCTGGTGCAGGTCTCAGGCCCAGAGTCCCAGCCATTCCCCAAAGCGTGGTCTCTGGACGTCATTTTCACCGCAATCCTGTCCCAAAGGCAAATGCTCCTTCTCCACCTCACTCCTGCTCAGCCGGGAAGTCCCGGGGTGGGAGGAAGCGATTCATGTCTTCATGAGGCCTCTGGGGATGCCGACGAGAGAGGCCCTGCCAGGGTCATCTTTCTGGACTGTCGACCCTGGCTACTCAGAGCGTGGTCTCCCGGACCAGGGACCTCAGTGTCACCTGGACCTGGGTAGCCATGCAGAACCTCAGGCCCCAGCGAGATGTGCATCTTAACAGTGTGTGCACGGGAAAGGGTGAAATGGCCGCCTCACCCAGGGGGCACCTGGACGGGCTGGCACCTCATCCCCCCCTGGCCCCGGGACCTGACACCTGACAGTTTCAGGCTCTTAGCAAAGGCTGCAGGTTCACAGAGCCCACAGTGACATAGCCCCTCATCCTCGCAGGAGACCAAGTGGACGGATGTAGCCCTGAGGTCTCCGCATCCACACACCTCAACTGCCCTGAAGGGGAGCCAGCACTGAACTGGGCCCCTTGAAACTGCCCACGGGGTCAGTGCGCTCTGCAGAGGCCACCCTAGGGAGTGACCATCTGAATCACCCCAAGGTAGCACGGAAGCCAGCAGGGCCCAGAGCTGTTCCCCTCGAGTAGGCCAGAGAGAGCAGGCAGCGTCCCCTAGTCCCAGGACCCAGGCCGGGTGGCAGAGTCGGGAAGGAGGAAGGGCTCATGGTGGGGTCTCCCTGGTGGCATCTCCCCTGTTCCCTTTGGTTCCAACAATTGCCTACTGTGTACACAGCAGAGTGTTCCTTCTGCCCCTGCTGACCTGTCACATTAAAGGTCATTAAAAATTAATTCAATGAGCTCGATATCTAAATGCCAGCTGCTCCTGTCATGACAGATAGCTGCTTTGAGTCCAATTTGAGGTTTTCATTTAAGGAAAAACAAAAGAAGAAGAAGAAGTCATCAACTGCCTAAGCCACCAGCCATCTATCTATCTGTGATTGAATGAGATACTTGGTCTCCTCCCCGAAACCCACAGACGGAGGCCCTTTGCCCCTTTCCCTACAGGGAGAGTCTTGTGCAAGGAGCTTTAATGGCCCCAGGATGCGAGACCATTACGGAGGGAGAGGGGAGGACTTGTTCCCGTCTTTGTTCCAATATGCACAACCTCATTAAGATCTTACAAACCTTCACCCAACAGGAAAACACACATGTGCGCGCGCGCACACACACACACACACACACACACACACACACACACACCTAAATTAGAAAGGCAAATAGAATCTGGATTAAGTGGCTCTCTTGCCTGCATCTGTCACACGGAGGGTGTCGATTCTCTAAGTTTGAGTTGTCGTGTCTCCACGTCCCCGTCTCCATCGCTTTTCCTGGGAATCTTGGCTCCGTGAGGCTGAGCCTCTTTTCCTGGAGCCTCTCTTCTGGCCCGCTGTTCGGGTCCTGGAAGGAATGGGGTCCTGTCTCCCAAGCAGTGGCCTCTCTGTGGCACCTGCTCACCAGGGCCTTGTGGCGGGGGACTTGGCCCTGAAGCCCCCACCTGTGGCATAGCCTGGCACTGCAGGAAGGAGGAGGCCGAGCAGCAGGGTCCCGCCAACTCCCTCCAGATGCCGAGCTCTGGGGACAGACAGCACAGGTTCTTGTGGCCCCGACTTCTGCCCCATCCCAATTCTCACGGTACCGGCGCTGCAACCCCACGATGCAGTGTGGAACCTGCTCTCAGCCCTGCCAATTTCTTCTCTCCCGTCCCTTCTGCCCGCTCCCCGCTGAAGGAAAACACGGGAGATAATTAGCTTGCTCCCTCTTGGCCCGTCCCTGGGGCTGTTTGAGGAAGTACATTTTCTTCCCAGGTGTCGAAAATTAAATCTGTGTGCTTTTGAGGAACAGCAGAGGGGCGGTGGAGGGGACATGCCACTGGCTCCCGTGTGCAGGTTCCGTGGGGTCAGGGCCAGGACAGCAGAACTGAACCCCTGGGAAGAGGGGGGAGCCCGGGGGACCAGCACCCGGACTGCGCATGGGCCTCTGGGTCCTGCCCCTTAGAGCAATTCTTTATTTCCTGGAACAAAGCAATAGCTACACCTACCAGGTGACACTCCAAATGGGCCGAGAGGGTGCAGAAAGAAGGAGGCCGAGCCGCAGAAGTGAGTCTGTCACGGTGGTCCTACGCTCGACTGGACCAGCCCTCTGCAGCTCTGTCTGTCCCAAGGCCAGGACTGCAGGCACCCTCTGCACTCTTCCTCTTGTCACGTGGGTGCAAGGCCAGGAGGCCGTGAGGAAGCCTGTGAAGAGGAAGAGTCGATGATCCCATTTAAAAGATGATAAAGCTGAGACCCGGGAGATCATCTGAGAGCTCTTGGCTCCGAGCGGAAGAGACAGAGAGGACTCGTCCATTTTCCCTTTGCCCCAGAGGGGTGGGGCTCTGCTCTGCTCTCCGACCAGCACTGGGAGAAGCGGAGAGAATCCACACAACAGAGATGGGGAAGGCCGGGGACGCACGCGAGAAGGAGGTGGCTGATTCATTTTAATTCAGTGATAACTTCTACAAGTTGCCTGACTCGAGAAACAGGGGCAGAACAGACTTACCTCTGGGGTATTTATAGTCCGGACAGAAAATGATTAATTATCAAAGCAGTGCCGGCCAGACAGCTGGACCCAGGGCCACCAGCTGCTCTCAGGAAAGGTGGGCACGTGATGTCTGGCTGGTGCCCCGAATCTCCTCAGCCTCCTCCCCCCGACTGGTCCCTACCCCGGGGAAGACAGCCACCCACCTGCACCACCTGCCCTGTCCTGGGGCGGGCACCACCCTGTCCCCACCCCAGGACAGGGGCAGCCACCACAGAAGCAGGCGGGCCCCTGCGAATTGCCTGAAGTGACACTCACTTTGTATACACATGTTTACAATCAGGGCCAGATGGTGAGGCGTTGGATTCGTTTCAACACGTCACTCGCCACTGGAGCCAGCTTAGCTGAGCTGGGCCTGGCACGTGGCCCGCAGCAGCATCTTGGGAGGGGGCGAGCCCTTCCTCCCACACCCACCCTCAGATCTGCTCTTGATGGGAGAAGGCATCTATTAGCCCTCACTTAGGAGCAGCCTTCGTCGGCCAGCTGTCAGAGGTTCCCATCAAATCCCCTGAATTCTGCAGACAGAAGAAAGGCTCAGAACCCACTCTGATATCCTCCAGAATTCTTTCCCCTCTTCTCCCCCTTCCCGAAAAGTAAGTAAATAAAGAAAGAAAGCTCACTTGATGGAGAGACGCTGACAGACGATCACCCGATGACAGTGTTTATGTTGCCAAATTATTTGTTCTGGCAGGAAGAGAGGGCGGACTGAACGCAGATCACACGGGAGATTACTTACCAAACTAGGAAGGAGCCTTCGGTGTCATGAGAGGGAACAGGGAACGGAG